CTTGTCTCAGCTGGTGCACAGGATCAGGCGTTGGCTGGTGATTCCYCATGGCCATGGCTTGTCTGGGGGACAAACATCTGTCCTGGGRCCTCATCTATTTACATTTATGGGAAATAATCCACAGCTGCAGCCCAGAGCAGCTGCATGGCTGTACTTTGAAGGGAAAAGGTGACATCCCAGCCCTGGCTGAGTGCTGCTTTGATTTTCCTGGAGCCAGGAGTTCAGGCAGTCATTGGCATTTGTAAATAAAGAAACCYTAACCTTTAGAAGGAGGAAGGACTACAGTGATGTCTACCAGAGCTGGCATTGAGGATGAAGGCATAGCTTGGGGAGGAATAAAACATTACAGGTTTTCATTCTTCCTAAAATTTGATAGCTTGCATTCAGATTGCGTCCATCACTCACTGTTCCTGAAAAGAGCAGCTTGAAAGAGCTCTGGAGCTGCTGTGCTTTGCTGTTAGTGCTGCTGGGCACAGAGCTGGGGTTACAGACTTCTGCCTCCTGTGCTTTAAGAGATCCCTTTCCCTGCCAACAAGAAGAACAAGGGGAAGTGAGATCCATTCCAAACTGCCTGGAATACTGAACTGCCTGGAATACTGAACTGCCCACCTTCCTCGATGAGCCCTCTCCAGCCACACCTTTTGCTGCCTGGGGTCTTCCTGTGGTGCCTCCACTTTCCCATACTGAATTCTGTGGCCATCTGAAGAGAACGAGCASAGTGTGGAGGGAAGATGTGTAGGGAACACATCCATCATGGTGTTCATCTGGATTGCCCCGGGAAAACAGAGCTGCTGCACACAGCAGTGGGGAGAGGAGAGAGTTTGGGAGTGATGCTGCCTYGTTAAGGGCAGAATTTGGTGAATCACATCAGACATGAGCCTTGCTGAGTGAGAGAAAGGAGTGCTTCCTCTGCTACCCCAATGTGCTCAGCAGGGCTGGCAGGGAGAGGTGGCCTCAGCACAGAACTCCCAGTCTGCCTCGGGAGCTGCTGGAAGTGAAGTTTCGTTCTCCGAGGGGTTTGTTTGGTGTTGTCTCGCAGAGATAATGGCTGAGCAGATCTTTGTCTTGGAAAGCACCTGGTGTGTGAGGTGTGTGAGTAGATTGTGGGGTACACAGGGATTCTTCCTGCAGTTTCTGTTTTCCTGCTGGGGCTGGGAAGCAGCCTGGAGACTGCTTGCAACTTAAAAGACTCTCTCAGATCATCTGGCAGCAAAAGCTCTGCCTTTGTTGTCAGAGATGGGAACAGAAAACACTGCATGCACAAAGAGGGGATCATGGGTTTGGTCATATTTCTGTGTGACAGTTAAATATTTATGGCTTTGCTGCTACTCCAGTCTCCTCTGAAATGTGCTCATTCTTGTTTCTGCTCGGGGTTTTACAGCACACTTTTGTTGTGCTGGAAGTTTCCTTCCCAGAACTGTCTGCCTTCATTGGGGTAATATTGTCTGAAACAAAGCAGGAGCTCAGGGCTTCTCCTAAATGCTTTTGGAAGAACTGGTGTGTGTTTAATCCCAGCTGTGGCACAGAGTGGTCTTCTCCAGTGACTCGTGGTGGCAGAGGTCAGAATTTGTCACCCAAAGTGAATAAGGACAAATGGACACAAAGGAATAACTGGAACCAGGAAGCTGTGGATGTGCTCTCCATTTGTGCTCCTCCTGATAGTGGCAGTGTGGATGGACACGGTGTCAGGGCTGGGAGAAGCCCTGCAGACACACATGGGAATGGTTATGGTTCCGTGGGTTTGGGGTTTGAAACCTGTCCCAAYGTGAGTCCTGGTGTCCCTGGGGCTGTGCAACTGCTGTTGGCTGAGGGCAGGGAGCCTTCCTCCCTGGGAAAAGGCTTTTCCTATGACATGGGAGGAGCTCACAGCCCCAAAGCCGTGCAAGAGAGGGGTTTTCAGGTAGAGATCAAAGGCTGGGCTGCCCCTTCATCCTGCAGGGTTTGGGGAGTCTCCTCTCCTCCCACCAGGTCAGCTCTTGGAGCTGCTGCATCCACGGGCTTGGGGAAGGATTTACAGCTGCTGGGATGTTGGAGGAGGGAGAAGAACCAGCCCTGAGGTGAAACTCATATAATTCTCACACCTATCCTCTATTGGAACATTAAAAGTAACACTGAAGGATCATAAACACAAACAGTGTCCGAGTTATTGCAGTGAGAGAGKGCTCCTGCAGCTGCCTGCAGTGGGTCCCTCTGTGTTTTGTGTCCAAAAGRGCTCAGCTCAGTGTTAGAACCACTGGCTCTCTGCAATTCTCTCCTACATCCCAGGGAAAGTGGCTTTCTCCCTGTTTTCTCTGTTTTCCCTGCTCATGGCAGAGGAAGGCTGTGTCAGGAGCTCTCCACTGGGACATTTTAGCCATGCTGGACAAAGCAGGGCTCTCATCCTGCAGCCATCTGTCTGCTTTCTAATTCATGAGGAGAAAGATTTTCTGGGAGAAATAAGACTTTTCAAGCTCCATTTTCTGAACTGCCATTGGGGTTGCTGTCAGAAAACAGAATGTGACAGTGACAGGAACAATTCCCTGTCACAGGCTTTGCTTCCCAGGTGTGGCCACATCCCTGCTGCGGCCATGGAGCAGCACCCTGGGGTCCCCACGGATCACAGGGTGCTCCCCTTGGATTTTCCAGCCTGTGTCCTGGGGCTGAGTGATTATCCTGAAGGTTTTTGTAGAAATAGAGCCTGGTGTTGGTTTGACCACATTTGTCCCTTCTTTTCCTTCTCGAACATTCACAGACATCAGGTTTGTCCAAGGAACAGGTTGAACAAACAGAAAACTGGGATTTTGCTGCATTCTCACTTTGTAGGGCTTCTCTGGGCTCACTGCACTGTGCCAGGATGCAGGAGCTGGCATTGTGCCTTGGAAAYGGAGAAGATCTGTTCCTTAAATCCACTTTTCCTCTGATGATATTTTCCAGAGCAACCAAGTGTAATATCACCAGTGGAGGCTGGGGAATGATGGATTTCAGGACAGAATGGACAGATCCACTGGGAGATGCCAAAGCTCTTGGTTTGGTGCAGCTGATCTGACTGAAACAGGGTGAAAAGTGAAATCCCCAGCTCTGCTTTCAGGCAAATATCTCATGAAGCACAGGAAACAGACAAAGGAGACAACACAAAAGGTTGCTGAAGTGGAAAGGCAGTTGTCAGAGAGGTTTTAATATTCAAATAAATTTCATTTTCCGGTTGTTACTTTGAAACATTTGTAGAATGCTCTGAAGTGCCCATCATTTGTTGAGCAGCACACCAGAAATCTCTCAGGTGATCACACAATTAAACAGCATTATATGGAGYTCATAAAGCAGGGTGGATGCTTCTCCATGCAGGGTTAGCCCCTTTTCTCTCCATCATAAAAGTCCTGATGAGACCATGTTGAAAATTAATTTCTTTTTCTGTTTTGAAAAGGTCAGGCCACATGAGCTGAGGACAAATTAACGCCTGCTGTAAATCAAAGTAGAAACTTTAAAAGTCTGAAACCTCTCTGAGCTACATCTGAGCCTGTGTTTTAAAACTTTTTTTTTTTTATCATTTTCCATCCTTGGAATGATTGCTCCCCCTGAGAACTCTGCCCAAACGCATCTGTGTTTCTGGAATGTTCAAAGCAGAGCTTGACAAACATGACTTTCAGGAGTTGCCTTTGTCCCTGGACTGTGGCCTTGCTCACACAGCGTGCAGTCACAGCACATTCTCCTGAGTGACACATCCTTACACTTGCACTTGTACAAGTTGCTTGCTTGGCTGCCCAGAAAATGGATGAGAAACAAAATAAGGTGCTGAGCCTGGGAAATGCTGCACTTGTGGCGAGCTGTGACCTAAATGCCAGTTTTTTGCCGATCCATGAGGATGTGGCACGACGAGGCTTACAGATATGTGTCACTTGTGGTGACATGAGCACAGGAGAAATGTGCTWTTTTGGCTACAGGCATGTAGAAGTTCATGCAATCCCTTCCCAGCCCTTCCATTTGATTAGTTAATTAGAGCATTGCTTTCACAGAGCCCTTTTCTGCTGAGTGCTCAACACAGSCAGGGACAATCGGGGGCTCAGCTGATGGTGATGTCTGTGGGTGCTCTGTGCTTTGGGGAGTCACTGGGTTGGACCCTGAGAATGCCCAGGCTCTCAGGAAGCAGTTGCAGATTSATATTCTTGGGATATCATTTAATGGGAGTTACTGGAATGGTTGTAAGAAAGCACATTGCATAAATTAACAACACTGGGACTGAGTTTAATCCACCTGGTACATCCCTGTGTGCTCTGTGGCCATAAGATCCTGGTTTTTCCTGCTTTATTTTAAGGGACCAAGATACCATGGAAGTGAGAGCTGTCCTTTGTGCGTTTCAGGCGGTGGAGAAGGTGTTTGCAGTGCCAAAGGGATTTTACTGGCAGACAGTTGAGAGTGATGACAAACACTTCCCTGACAGCAGCGCCATGGAGGCTTGCAGAGACACAGACACCGAGGTAAAGAACAACAAACAGCCCCTCCTCCCTCACCTGGGGCTGAGGGGGACACTGAGACACAATGAGGTGCCCTGGAATATTTCACTCTTGAGGTTTGATACAAATACTGATCTTGAAGTATTTTTCACTCAGACCTAAATATATCAGCTGAGTATTTTATGTCATTGGTATTGATGTGCTGATTGCTCTGAGCCACAGAAGATTAAACTTTGAAACGTGTGGGCTGCAGAAATTGCYACCAACCAGGTGCAAATCACTAACAGTAGACAAAATTTTGATAACCTGAAACCGCTTGACTGTAAGCCAGTAAACAGCACAACTTTGATTAAACTTGGGCTCAGAAAGTAAGGAATTTCTGAAGGTTCTGGTACTGCCTGACCTTCAGGAACTGTGTKTGGTGTATGAACAAATAGGGAATAATTCTGCTCATTTCACCCCAGGAGAGGAGAAGGTTCAGGTGATTTCAATGAGCTCATRTTGAGGTGTGCAGCCCAAAATGTGCAGGACCTCACCCGTGTGAGATGAGCTGTTCCTGAGGGCAGGGCAGGGCCAGCAGGGTCAGCTGAGGGTCACAGAGCCACAGACTGGTTTGGGTGGGAAGGGACCTCAAAACCCATCCAGTGTCACCCCTGCCATGGCAGGGACACCTTCCACTGTCCCAGGCTGCTCCAAGCCCCAATGTCCAGCCTGGCCTTGGACACTGCCAGGGATCCAGGGGCAGCCACAGCTTCTCTGGGCACCCTGTGCCAGGGCCTCACCACTCCCACAGGGAACAATTCCTTCCCAATATCCYATCCATCCCTGCCCTCTGGCACTGGGAAGCCATTCCCTGTGTCCTGTCCCTGCATCCCTTGTCCCCAGTCCCTCTCCAGCTCTCCTGGAGCTCCTTTAGGCCCTGGCAGGGGCTCTGAGCTCTCCCTGGAGCCTTCTCCTCTCCAGGTGAGCATCCCCAGCTCTCCCAGCCTGGCTCCAGAGCAGAGGGGCTCCAGCCCTTGGAACATCCTTATGGCCTCCTCTGGACTCTCTCCAGCTGGCCAATGTCTTTCCTGTGCTGGTGGCCCAGARCTGGACACAGCCCTGCRGGTGGGAGTCCCCAGGGCMACAGCCAAGGCAGAAAGTCCAGGGTTCAGACAGGGGCCAGAATCAGTCATGTCTGAGAGCAGGGTGGGCACAACTCAACCAAGCTGCAATGGAGAGCACAGCCAAGTGCCAGGCTCCTGAGGAAAGGCAGACAGGCTCTTCTGAGGTTTCCCAGTGCTGGGTGGCTGCGTTATCACAGCTGGCCCCAAGCCCAGGCAGCCCCAGGGACTCAGAGYTGCTACAGGAAAATTCTTCCTTCCTGGCTGCTGTGAGTGCTGGGTTAATAGCAGCAGAGCTTGAGCTAGACAAACATAAAGAAATGGAGCTTTTATTCCTAATTAGACCACTTTTATATGATTTGAGTAAATTTATACCTTCATTTATCATGATGGTAAAGCCTCATAATGTCTTTATGGGGGAGCAGCATTTCATTTCAAGTGTCCGGTAGTGATGGATTCATTTGGCGTTTGCTGCAGCCATAAACCTTGAGCTGGGGAAATCCTTGTGCTGCTCTACATCCAGGAGATGCTCAAATTTGGGGCCAGAAAATCACTTTATCTGATCCCCAGCTGGACAATTTATTATCCACAACACAACTTGATCTTGAAGTATTGTGCTTGCTTTTTAAAACAATTTATTTCTCTGATGGGAAAAATAATAATAATTTTCTCTCCTTTGGGGTATAAACATTCAGAACATGTTGGTGTGTGTCTTCCTACATGCCAGGATGGGCTGAATTGGGTTAGGCTGGTAAAGAGGACTCTGAAATGTAAATTTGGGACAGTACCARTGATGTGTTTGTCTTTTGATATTTTTTTTAGTGTTGATTTTGTTGCTGTTATAGGCAGGGAGAAACAACCAGTTGGTCTATTATTATTTAATCCTCCAGAAAGATGGGCAAATGGTGCTGCASAAAGCTAACAGCAGAAGGGATGCACTGTGCTCTCTGCCCCAGAGGCCTTGCAGCTCTTTACCAGTAGGTTTTTCRTGACAAAAGGCACAGTCATATCAGCAAAAATAGAGGAAATTATAATTGTCACTGCTAGCTGGGATTTAGTCCAAAGCCAAGAGCCTTCTGTGTGAACTGCACAGAAACAGAAACCAAACCTCAGCCTCTCTGTAGCTGCAGCAGCACAGATCCAACCTGGGAGCTCCAGCTCTGAGGCTGTGGAGGGTTTGGAAGCATTCCCCTCGTTTTTCCATGTTTTCCTCTTGCTGTCCAGGTTGCCATGGTGCTGCTGTTCCAGGCTCTCCTCCGGAGCCCCCTGGAGACCCATCACACGCTGCAGCTGCTGCTGGGCTCAGGGCTCGATGTCTGCGGCCTCCGCCTGCTCTACCCCGGGCAGGAGCTGCTGCTCTCCAGCTCAGGTGAGCTCTGTGCCCCTCCAGAGCTTCCACTGGGTGCTGATGGTGATGGTGATGATGATGATGGTGATGGTGATGATGAGCAAGGCAAAGATCTGGAAATGCACTGAGGTGAAGAGTGATGAGAGAGTCAGATTTGCGTGATGGCTGTTTTATCAGTTCCTATATATTCCCCAAAAGAAATGATAGGATAACCTTGTTCCTTTCCTTCTGTTCCYGGTGCTGAACATGCATGAGCTGAATTTTTAACCCTTGATACATTTTTGGGTCTCAGACTTTAGTTGTTGTTCCTTTGCAATGAGCTTTCCCACACTGCAGKGCCCTGAGCTCCAGGATTAGTCTTGTGTGAGTTCAATATAATCTTTTAGTTCCCCACTGATACTACTGAAGGTTTTAGCTTCAGAAAATCCACCCTCCCTCTTCCACAATTCCCCCATCTCATTGCCTGTGGGACTCCAGGAGTACTGATTTGTCTGTGCTRTAATTGCATTGGCTGATAAAGCATCACCAAAATGTCACATTATTTAATAGAATCCCGCCTGAGATGGGAGACCAGCGAGATAAAGTAAATAAACATGATTTGGGGCTCTGAACTCAAATCACAATGTCTTTAACACCACACACCMATGTTTCAAATATTGGCATGTACCACTCAGGTCTTTTTTTTCCCCCATTTGAGAAACAGAGATGTTGAAGCCTCTCTTAAAGCATTATGGAATATTAYTGGTTGCTACTGCAACAAAGCTCCAGAGCAACAGGTGTTCCCTTAGCTGCAGAGTTTAGAGATTGCCTCTGCTTGTGGCTTTTGCYTCCTTTTGAGGCAAGAAATTCTCCTGGAAGGTTTGAATGTGGCACCATCTCACCCAGACAATCCATTTCTCTTGGGATATGGCAAGCTGAGAGGGAGAGAAATGGRTTTCCTTTTCCTCTGGCAGAAGGGGAATGAAGAATCAGCTTAACCCRAGAAAATTCCCCAGTCTTCTTGTTCCATTTTTGCATTTGAAAGTAATAGGAGCAGACTGCCTCAGGAATGGGATTGCAGTTGCTGCTGTCTGGGTGCTGTGCACGTAACACATTCCTGGTGAGAGCTGGGGAGATGAGGGAGGGCTCCAGAAAGGAATAAAAACCATAAAAACAGCAGTCATTAGGAGCTGACAGGCAGCAGCTCTGCTCCAATGCTCTGCACCATGCACCATTATTTAGGAACATTTCGTATGAAGAGACAATTCATTTGGGCTGAGAACTGCTGTGCAAGTTTGTAAATTAGATTTTTACCCTTAGCTTGATAATTCTAAAATTACTGTTTTAAATATTTACAGCCAGTTGCTCCATTATCTACTTGCTCTGCAGATTTGTGTTCTGCCTTCTGATTCTTATGCAAGAAATGATGTATTTGAAYATGTTTTTAAACCTTTGAGGTTTTTAAACCTAAGAGAAGGAAATTGCACACTTTGCTSCTTTTTCTGACATCTGCAGTAAGAACTGCAAAGGAGGCAAATTTGCTTTTTCTCGGGTTGGTTGCTGGGTCCCAACTCTGCTGGCAGAAGACATGGAGAGAGTTTTGCCAGTCACAGGGAAGAGTTGGTGCAGGAAATAAGGGAAGGCACGGTTCAAATCCTGGCAGAAAATTAAAGGTGACAAATCAAATATTTGCCTGGATCATAGAGCATTGTACAAAATCTGTATTTGATGCAGAAGGGAATAATAAAAGAAAAGAAATCCCCAGATTTCCAGTTTGCGATGCCCTTCAAAAACATCCCTTTCCTCAGGCCCTGTTCTTGTCCTGTCTGTGCTTCAATCCCCCAACCTTGCTTGTGCTCCTGAACAAAACAGCACACAGGAACTTGAAGTGCTGGCTTAGAGTCCCAGTTTGGGCTGGAAAAGACCCTAAAAACCACCAAGTTCCATGGGCAGGGACCCTTCCAGTGGGTCACCTGCTCTGTAAGAACTTTTCACAGTAAACAGGAGGCAACCAACTGCTCCTTTTTCAGACTGCCCTGGATAACCTCAGGTTTGCTTTTGGGTAAAAGTGTGCAGGTACTGCCAGCAAATCTCCCCCAGGACAGGGAACCAGGTGGTCCCAGGACAGATGACCAGGTGGTTTCTCTGTTGAGGTCTGGCTCTGGCAGATCTGAAAGGAGCACCTGAGTGGAATGAATGACCTCGGGATGGGTTGTGCCATGTTTTACTCACACATGTTTTTGTTTCCACAGAAAATCTGCCTTCCTCCTACACCTCAGAGCCTGGCAAGGTGCCCCCAGTGCTGGCATTATGTGTGAGAGGGCCCAAAGCCCGTGACACCCTGCAGGACATCACCCGTGGCTCTGGCAGCCGAGCAGAGCCTCTCGTGTCCCTGCCCCTGCCCAGCCGGCTGCACAGGGAGCTGTGCCTCTGGTTTGGAGGGAGAGCTGCTGCAGTCCTGCCCCCAGCTCACAGGTATGGCCCAGGGTGGTGGGAGCTGTGAGCTATGGAGGGTGGGCAGGTACTCAGTGCTCTGGAGTGCAGCAGTGCAGGGGAGCAATCCTGCTACTTCTGTATTTCCAAACCACTTGTAAAATCTGCAAAAGTCCTTCTCTTCTGCAGCAGATCATAGAATCATGGAACATCCCGAGTGGGAAGGGACCCACAGGGATCATGGATCCAATCCCTGGCCCTGCACAGACCCCTCAACAATCCCACCCTGTGCATCCCTGGCAGCGCTGTCCAAACGCTCCTGGAGCTGTGGCAGCCTCGGGGCCGGGACCATTCCCTGGGGAGCCTGGGCAGTGCCAGCACCCTCTGGGGACAGAAGAACCTTTCCCTGATCTCCAGCCTGAGCCCTCCCTGACACAGCCCCAGCCCTTCCCTCAGGTCACAGATTTCTGAGAAGTGGAATACCATTCCCTGCTCCCTGGTATCCATGCCTGTAATTCACACTTTGCAGCCAGATGTGGAGATCAGGTGCTGGAGAAGAGCTGCAAGGCTGTCACTGAGTGCCCCTGTCCTAGGAAACCTGCTCTGGCCTTGCCTTGTCCCCCCCATATCAGCTGATAAAGGGATTCAATAGGAAAAAAATCCTTTGGAGGATGATGAGAGAAGTGTGTGAAGATGAAGGGKGGCTTCTAAACCTTTAACTGCATGAGAAACTCTACTGCAGAGAGCTCAGGCAAGGCCCTGCACCTGTGGGCTCTGGAGGGAGTTTTAGGGATTCTGGCTGATCCTGGGTGCAGGGTGGCACAGTCAGAGGCTGCAGGTGAGATCCTCTGCAGTGCTGTCAGTGCTTSTGTGGGGTGGCAGAGCTCAGCCATGTGGGGTTAACCTGTGGATTGCCGTGGAGGATTGCATGTCACAGTTCAGTTGTGCTCACCCACGACCAGAAACTCCCATCATTTTCATTCTGAAGATGTGAAAAAAAAAATCAATTTGGCCAAGTTTCATTCTCTTTATTTTCCTCGGGGATGCTTTTTCCCTCTTACAAAGATGAAGAATTCTGCTCCTCTGGTATAACTGGGTCCGGAGCGGTGCTACATTCTAAATAACGCACTCTTAATGCTGGTAATTTGGTCTGTTGGGAGGCAGGAATACAAACTGCAGCTCGGATTGCCCTTTGCAGATTAGACTTGCAAATGCTGTGGGCTCCTGGGAGTGAGCGAGCAGGATGTGTTCCAGCCGGCTCCGTGCTGGTGGCAGGGGATGAGGCAGGTTTGTCTGAGCAGCCTGAGCTCACAGTCCCAGCCAAAACTGTTCCCTGACAGTCCCTGGCTTTCCACCACACCTTCTGTTCACCCTGCCCTGCCTGGGTCCTTTCAGATGTGCAGCAATGTTGTGGAGCTTTCACTGGCAGGAGCAGCTCTGCCAGACTGGATGGTGCTTGTTGCCTAACACGAACTCTTCAAACTGGTTAAACTCAGCCTAAAGAACCCGAAGTGAATAGCATCAAGGATGTGTCTGTGGGTGGGAGAAGCTCTGCTAGTGCAGCCTGACATATTTCTTGATTCCCAGATTTCTTTGCCAAGCTGGCTACTTTGCATTAGCTACTTTTAATTGAACACAGAGAGCCTCAGGGGGAGTAATATGAAAAGAAATTCAGTCTGAGAGACCTTGATGCAGCTCATGTCACGGACAAGGGATTGAAATGGCTTTTCCAGTAAAGCAGTTTTACCAGAGAAGCTTCTGTGGCCTTGGATTTGTCACAGAAAGTAGGTTTGAGTCAGAACCTTTTAATATTTTTCATTTAATATTTATCATTTTTTCTGCAGCTCTCAGAGTCCTTCATCAACTGGGGCAGGAGCAGATGAAGAAAAAGTTGATCTCCAGGGCTTGCTGCTGCCTCGACCTCCAGCCATGCTTGTCTCAACTACCAAAGGTCAGTGTTAGGGAACTAAACCTGAGGGTTTATGGCTCTCCATCACTGACAACATTACTGTGCACAAACCCACCTGAGGCAATCCTGCCTCCCTGGATTGCTCAGGGCTGTGACCTGGCCAGTTCTGGCCCAGGAGTGAATTTCTAGTGGGACATCCTTGCGTAAAATGAAACAACAGACAAGTGGCACCTCCTCATGGGAGCAGCTGCTGGAGGCCTGGGGGCTGCATAGATGTCACTGAAGGGCAGAAAAAGAAACAAAAAAACACTGCACAGGAAATGTCTGCACAGAAGGACCTGTTCATCAAAGGAACATTCACATGAAGAGCTAACAGAGTCCTTATACTGCTTTTTTATCAGATCAGAGATCACCTGCCTATCTGGTGAAGATGGAATATTACAGTCAGGGCAATTCAATGGTTAAGGCTTCATTTAGGGCAGGACTGACCACAGTCAGAAAGGAGAGCACTTTGTGGGACTCATAACAACTGGGTATCACCTGGATCCACTTCAATCCCTTTTTTTCCCTTCCTAGGAGTCACGTCCAGCTCCTGAGTTTGTACCTAACTAGAAGCAAGCAGTGTCCAAGCTGGCTAAAAGGTGTTGGGGTCCTGCTGTAAAGGCCAGCATCCCCTGCAGTGGGCCTGGCACAGCAGATCTGGGCTGCAGGGGGGGTTTGGACCATGCTCGTGGAGCTCTGGGTTGGTTTCTGCTCCCCCAGTGAAGGTGGTTTGACAGGAAGGAAGCCTGAGGGGAGCAGAAGTTCAGCAGCTGTCAGAGAGGAGATGGCAGAAGGAAAGCAGGGCTGTGGTGACAGGGAAGGAAGGCTTGGGGGATTACATTGCCAAAAGAATGAATCCACGAGGAAAGATGAAAACATGGGCCAAAATGATGAAAAAGGAGTGGAAAGGAARGAAAATAGAGRAGGGAGAAAGGAACAAACCAGTTTTGAGACAGTTTTCCCTCTTTTGGCACGTGTTAACTCAGGTAGTTTGGCAGCCAGCCCTTGGCTCTGTTATTTGGGATTGGGATTGATGGCAGCTGGTGGCTACTGATGGGATGAGTCACATTTGCTGCCTCCCTCCCTYCTTTTCTGGCCATTAATGATTCACAGTTGCTGTGGGCTGCTCAGTTCCACCCCACCACRTTCCATCTGGATGGGGGCTCAGGAAGCCACTGGCAAGCTTTGCTCCTCAGATAACTTTGCTCTGGCAAGGGGAGCTGGAAATCTGGTCTGGGAGCTGAYACCCTTGGGGTTTTCAGGCAAAGAAACAGTCACTGACTCCTTCCCTCAGCTCTCCAGCAGCTCCTCTTGGAGCCAGGAATTCACCCATGCAGAGAGCAGAGGTGCTGCAGCTCCCACCAGGTAGATTTGTCCCCTCTCAATAATCAAAGTTTTAGTGACCCAAGCAGATATTCTTGTTGATTTGGGATATATGTGTGCAAGAAATGTTTCTAAAAGTGCTATCAACTGGAGAGGAACCAAAATCCTCCCACTCACAATCTCAGATTTTGACAGTTCCCATATCATGAATATGGCTAAAAGCCAGTGCTCAAGCCATAAAGCCAAAGAGAGATTTTAGGCAAAGAAACACCCACCCTGCCTGTACCATCCTTAGGGATAAATATGAGGGTTCCCTTGGTTTGGTGCTACTTTGAACTACCAGGCTGAACCTTGGCAGGACATCTCCATATCACAATATCCAGAATAAAAAAGAAATATTCACTGTCCTACCCTCAAAATCAATCGGGACACAGAGAAAACTCCTCCAATCTCATTAAATCAGTTGGTTAAAGCTTAGAGAAATTAAAGGGGCAGTGTGGAGGGAACCCACATAGGAGTGGAACTGAGGATTTGTCTTCAGAGCTCGCTCTTGGCAGYTTATGGAGATGTGAATGTACTTTGTAAGGGATAAAAAAGCTGTGTTGGGACTAAGAAAGTGTAGTAATGGAGGTCATGGTAAAAACAGAGACCTCAGGTAGATCAGAAGCTTCAGGGAAAAGCCTTGAGCTTGTCTTGTAGTGCCTAAGATGGGGCTTAGGCTGCAAGGGAGGCCTTGGAGGCTCTGCCTCCTGAGCTTGYTCCTGGCTGGCACTGAGCCTGGGATTCACCTTGGAAAACAGGACTCTAAAAACCCAAGGTTCTAGCCCAAGGTAAATTCCAGTTGCTTCTACAACCTCATATCTGGGATGAGGGATGCAAGAAGAGCTCAAGCAGCCAGACCTGGGGGAGAGGATCAGGTAGGACAGGGCAAGGATCAGGTAGGACATTACTGAGATGTCCAAGGAACCTGGGAAGCTCAAAGGTGACATCACAGGTGGTCCAGAGCTTCAARAGCTTGTGCCACCAGACAGGTCTGGGGTGAAGGGTGAGGGCAGGAATAGGGAAGGGAGAAGCAGGAGGTGGAGCTGAGCAGGAATTGCTGAAGCAGATCAGGATCAGAACACCAGTAACAGCAGAAAGGAATGGCCAGGGCTGCTTCATGTGCTTTGTAGTGGGCAAACTGACCAGGAACAAGGAGTTCCTGTTGCCCTGTTTGGTCACTCACTGGAGTGTCCAGGCTCAGGAGAGCCTCAGTCCCTCAGCCCTGCCCTGAGCACTGGGGGCTTCATGGGGACAGCACTGCCACCCTGCCTGGGGACACACACTGCCTCATCTCATTTGATGATTCATAAACCTACTCCTGATGATGCCATAAGCTTTCCCACTCTGGGCTGGCCTTGGATTGCAGTCACAATGAGCTGGATGCAGCAAACAAACCGTGAAACACGGGGTCAGCTCTCAGGATATGACTGTTTGCTTCAAGGGGGAGCTGGGAGAGCTGCCTTGCTCTGACACCATGGCTCCYGTGACAATAACACGCTGCTTTTCTTCCCTCTCGTTGCTCTAGGGGACATCATTCTGCTGGTGTCACCTGTGGTGCCCCCATGTGCCTACGGGGCCGTGCTTTCAGCCTGTGCTCGCCGGGGCTTTGTGCTGCAGGGACTCCGCCGGCTGCAGCTCTCAGCACTGCAGGCTCTGGTGCTGGGCATGACAGCAGGGCAGGTACTGTGCCCCTGCTGCCCTGGGGTACCCCTTGTTGTGCAGCCAATCCTGCCAGCACTGCTCCAGGAGGTGCTCCGAGGACACCATTCCCTCTTTTCCAGTTCTCCCTGTTCCTGTGAGTGGTGCTCTGGCTGCTTTCAGTGCTGGCTTTTCCTGCAGGAGGAAAATCCCACAAAGCCTGGGCCTCTCATGGAGGACAGGAGTGTAAATTCACCATCCTACTCCTAGCAAAGGCAACGTGGATTTTACTATTGATATCAGAATGAACAAGGGCAGGCAGGAAGCCCCATGAACCAAAWGAACACTCTCTGATCTGCACAGGGRTGTTCAGGAGAAGGGGCTTCACTGATATTTGATCCCTATTTCAGTGCATTCCAGATGGGTTTCAACAAGAACTGTCAAAAATAACTTTTTTTTTCTTTGAAACTGTGCCTGCTGTGGTGATAGGTTTGAGTTAAACTGCACTTGGCATTTTGACAAGTCAGCCTAAGGAAACAGCAATAATCACAAATGCAAGATTGCAGTCAGACTTAACATATGCAAGAAGTCCAGTGCTGCACTTCTTACATTATAAATCCCACAGGGATCAAATGACACCTCCTCTCACAAAGGAATGGGCCCCTCCCTTCAAATCATCCTGCTGAGGGTTCTTTGCTATGCCAGTCAGGAAATGCATGATTTTGCAAATCAAGCTCTACAAATCCCCTCTTTTTGCTTGTTCTGTGATCAAACCTAGGGAATAACAAGGCCCCTGCCTGTAATATTTTATAGAATGACTATGGCTATTTATGGAATAGTGCAGCCCAAATAGCCAGATATTTGGAGCATGCTGCTAAAGGGCCATGAAGGAGTTAACAGCAGCAACCATTGCTCCAATGAGCTGTTTGGAGCTAAAATTTCTGAAAATCACCCCTTCATTTGGGACTCCAGATCACCTGAGTGACTTAGGATGGTACCATATATCAGATGAGTTACAACAGCTGTGGTTTCAGCCCAGTCCAGCTGCAGGGCAGAATGTTTTTGTGTTAAGCCTCTTCCCTGAGTTTAAATTAAGTTTTTCTGTCTCAGGAAAAGATGACGCAGAACACGCAGATATTGGAATTCCTGTGGCTCAGTGCTGACCTGTATYTTGCCATGCCATTGTAATTTATCTATTTGCTCAAGCCCTGTAGTAATTACATCTGGTTTTATCAGGTCTAATCTGCCCCTCATCATTCCAGATCGCTGTCTTTTGCCCTGGTGAGAGTTCCAGCTCACCTGCTGTTGCTGCAGGAGGAGATGTCCCCTCTGGAGCCCGCAGGCACTGCCTGCTTTTGCTGCTGAGGAGGGAGAACGCCACCCATCACATCCCTGCCTTGCTGACAGGTAAGGCTTGCCCTGTCCAGCCTGGAAAGGAGGGTTTGCATGTCAGTGTGTGTGAGTTAACATCAGCAGTCCAACCACAGCTGTGCAGTGCAGGGAATATTTATTGGGAATATCAAGGTCTGCTCAGGTTGCCGTAGGAATTTCCAGACCAACGTGTGAATCAGTCACTACTACACATCCAACAGAGCTGTTGATCTTTGCCAGCTGTTTGATCTTTAGCTCTGGAGTCCTCCTGAACTCAGAATCAACAAGCAGTTCCCCCTGGAAGGAGCCTCAGAGGGCTTCTCATCCAACATCCTGCTCAGCAGAGCATCAGTGATGAAGTCTGTCAGGATGCTCAGGCTTTTTCCAGTCAGGTTTTAAAAATCTGCAAGGACAGAGATTCCCCTACCTCTCTGGGCATTTCTTCCCATCCTTACAGCAAAGAACTGCTCATCYATCCTTATGGGAACTGGTTTTCCTTTATGTGAAATTGTAACCTCCTCTTTGGGTTTGTCCCTGGACATTCCAAGCTGGGGTCTCTTTGGCATCTCACACTCAGCACATGGAGGTGYACATGGCTGGGGTTGTYCTGTGCAGRGCCAGCAGCTRGACTTCAGTGATCCTTGTGGGTCTCYCCCAGCTCAGGCYYTGCTGTGAYTTGATGGCCTCAATCCCCTCCTCTCAGGAGCCCTTTTTGCCCAGAGAGGTGGGGTAGCCAAAATACAGCGGTGCCACTGAGCCTGAGGGCAGCACCTGCTCATGTCWGCCTCAGTTCTGATCCTGCATCTCTGTGACTTCCAAAAACCCAAAAGGTCATTCAATTTGTGTGTAGAACTGCCAAAAATCAGAAAAGTTGCTGCCCTAAATTTTGTTACTGAAGTTAGACTGTTTTATTAAAGGTTGAGTTGACATTGATCTCAAGTGGGGAGGATCAGAGGCAGCAGCAGTGGTCAGGAGGGAACAGAAATCCTGCCCTGCCCAAGGAGAGGTCACTGTGGGTGACCCTTCCATTAACACCATCCCAAACAGCCCATGATGGAGACATTCATCCAGTTGCCTCCTTTTATCTATCCACAATAGGAAAGAACATTTAGCGCTTTGGAGGGGGAAAAAAAAATCAATTCAAGAAGCCCTGGGCTTTGTCTCCTGAGACTATCACAGAATGTTCTGAAAACACGTGCAGACACAGAGGATTAATCATGGCACAGTAATTACAGCCCCGTGTCACCTGTGCCTCTGCACCCAAGGAAAGTTGTTCATTAAAAGGTGCAGTTTTTGCTGCTTCCCTGAGTGCCACAGATGATGCTTTGTGTTTGTGTTTTGTGTTCATGATTTGTGTTGATATTYTGTGTTCACAGTTTGTGTTCATATTTTATGTTCATGTTTTGCATGGGAAAATTTCCACTAGAAATATATAGGTGGGACTGGAACAAAGGATAGTCTGAAAAGGCAAAATGTTTTCCCTCATGGTAGAGAACTCAGGGGTTTTCCCTTTGCTTGTGACAGATTTTGCCAATGCCTCTTTCCATGTTTTCTGTGCTGTTTTCATCTGTACATCAGAACTGATTCAAAAAGATATCTTAGTCCATATTCCAGAGCCCTGGAGAGAGAAAGCAGCTATTCTTTCCACACAAGCTTTGGTTTGGCCTCTGGGAAGTGAAGAATAGAATTTGAAGTAGAGAAGAATTAGAATCTGAGTAGGATAAACACCTCACTGAGTTTTGTGTTTGTAATCAATACCTCTGAAGAGCAGCTGTCCCTTCCAAGTCTTGAACACTGTTCAGTTTTCAAAGCAAATTAAAATGCAACAATTCTTCCTGAAATAGAGCAGATAAATAGGTGGGWAAGGATCTCTGTGCTGAGGTTCAAACCCCATACATTTCTGTCCAAGTTTTGCTTTCTGCCATGCCTTGAGTTTGAATAAACAGCAGGCAGTGCTGCTGTGACAGTGATGGCCCATTTTTGGTGCCTCACGCCTGCTGAATTTTGAGAAGCAGGTGATTGTCAGTGGCACATTTGACATCCAAGCTTTGTCATCAGCCTCTAGCACCAATAATCCATTTCCCATGCTCCACTGCAGCAAATTTTTGACAGGCTCGTACGGTGGGAAGCTATCAAATGTGTACAGAGTAATTTAAAAAATAACAAGCCTTTAAAACTGTGGCCTGAAATATTATTACAGAAGGCTGAACTAATTGTTGTGGAAATGTACTGTATGCAACACCTTAATGCACTGCCTGTGCACAGCCCAGCTCTTTGGAGAGAGAATGGGATCTGAGAGATTGCTGCTTTAAGCACTTAGTGCCTGTGAAATGGGATATTTTCCAGGCTGGGAGCCACAGGAGCAGAACATGATGTCTCTGTTCAGGTCTGTCAACCCAGCAACACCTCGGTGCCCACGTGGGCCCTGTGGGATGCAGGGCTTTGGCCCCATGCCTGGAGGTGGGAGACACCTTGAGGGCCTCCATGTGAGCACTGGGTCACATTTGGGATTCTTCCTAGAGGATACCACCTTATTTGAGGGATTTATTTTAATTCAGGAGCTCTATGGCTGCATCTACTCCAYGTTTCTGTTCCTAGCAGGAGTTAGAAGGGGATAGAAACAAAAAAAAAGCCAGAGAGAGCTGTGGCCCAGTCCCAGTTTTCCACAGCTACTTGCCCCACTTTAAGTGATCAGTGTGATTTTGGGGAGAGGAGATGGTTCAGTGGCATTTGGGGTGTTGGATGAGCCCAGTCTCTCACAGAGCTCTGGCCAGGGACTCACACATTTGCCAGCAGAGTGTTTTCCTGTCAGGCTTAGCTGAGCCCTGCCTTGCTCACACTCTYCTGCTGTTCTGAGCACAGGGCTGATGGAGGAGCTGGCCAAGCCAGGCCTGAGCAGTGTCCACCCTGCAGCCACTGGGCTGGAGCCCTCGCTGTGCTTCCATGGGGCACCCTACACCGAGACCTTGCTGCAGAGCCTGGGTAGGTCAGGGCTGGCAACTGCTCTGTCCTTTGCTGGCTTTTCCAGCATCAGACACTCAGGAAATGGTTGGGTTGGGCTG